TTTTTTATTTAATGTTTATATACTATTTTTATTTTATATTTTATATATTATTTTATGTTTTATTTTACAGAATCATAAATAAATGTAACAATAACATTTTTGTAGGATTAAAAATCTGAAGGACTTTATTTATTTTTGTGGTGAATTTTTCGTATATAGTGGTTTAATTTGTGTAATAGTTTTTAAATTTATTTTTCTTGATATTTTGAATTATATTTAAGTCATTGTGTTAATATTATATTAATATTTAATTTATTTTTTATTTATGTATAATATTTATTGAAAATTTGAATATGCATATTTTAATTAAAAAAATTCTAATAAATGTTTAAAATAGTTTCTCTCTATAAAATAATCTTAATATTAAAAGTACATTGATATTTATCGTTTTTCGTAATTTGACTCTCAAATGCACTTTTAAAAAAAAGACTAGTCAGATACTATTTGCTTATCATAGACACTTTTTAAATGAATTAGTCAAACACAAATTACTTTTTTTCAAAAACATTTTTTTAAAAAGTCATTCTAAAAAAATGCTTCTAGAAATAAGCAGTTTTTAGTAGTAATGCCAAACAGACTCTTAGTAAAGTATATCATAGCGTACAACGGAAGAAAAAATAATTAATTGAGAAGATGATTTTTCAGTATGCATTTACTAATGATATATTATCTGTGAGTCTTTTAGTACTGTCAGAGTAAAAAAAGAAAGGAAAAAAAGTATCACCTTAATTTTTAATTGTGTCATGTTATTTTTTAAAATACGAGATTAATGACATGACATGATTAATAATTTATTTATAATTGATGTGTAATTATTATTAGTGTCATTATAAATAATTTTAAAATTATTCGTCAGTTTTATTAACTTTTATATTATATTTAATTTGTTCTTCTCAAAATTCCTATTATGATATCATCGTCATTCTACTAAAATAAACGCACACATAAATGATATTGAGATTGCTTATAGTGAATAAATATTTATAAATTTATTTACTTTGAATTAAAATTCAATATACAATATTTAAAATCAAACAAAATGTCTAAAGTTTGGCATTTGCTTATGTAGGCAATTTTATTTTTTTTAAAAAAAATTTGACAGCCACAAACTTGTTTGTTTGAAGTAAAAACTAACATACCTTAATATAGTCTTTAAATAATTAATTGCTTGCTTCTGATATTCAATCAACAACTAAACGTCTTTAACACAATGAAATTGTATTGAATAGCGTATAACCATTGATAACGTCACATAATCATTTTTATCAATTAAACCATTCATTTTTTTTTATTTGATTAGGAGACAAATAAATTTCAATTATCACTATTGACAAAATGATGAAATAAATCATCATTGATATCAACACATCATTGCCAAATGCTTGAGAGTTTCATTGTTCAATTCTCGTACACATATTCTCTTTATTTTTCGTACATTTAGTGAGTTACATACAAAATTCAAAAAAATTAATTTTTTATGATTTCATATTTACGTTAAGTTACAAAGATCCACTAAGACAGTCTGGTTGATTCTGTGTACTTAGTTTTGGTGTAACAATTATATTCAAATTCATCCTAATTTTCTAGTACTTCATAATTGAACCTTGAACCCCTTTCACATGATATAAGTTGTTGATGTATTGAACACTTCTTTGCTATGCGTCATTTATGACGCTGTAGTAGAAAAAACTTTATTTGAAGATGGTGATGGTGCAAATACATTAGATGTTGTAGTTCATTTTCCAGCTTCACTTGCGCAATTTGTACGTTTGAATGGTTCCAACCATCTTCCAACCTTAATAAATGAATTACAAAGAAATTTGTCAAGCGATTCACTTTTTCGATCGACTCTCATTTGCCTTCTCTAATTACCTTCGATAATTATGTACGTCCACATAATTTATTTTTTCCATTATAATAGCTTATAGTGATACCATTTGATTTATGTAAGTGTTTAAAAATATTATTATTATTATTTAATTTTTTATTTATATTAAATAACTTTTATTGATCACTAAAGTAGTTTGATCACCACATCTAGATTCTCTACCCAAAAAAATAAAATCATCTAACACATCACATACTAGAATTCATCTAATACCATTTTCACTAATATGATATTGCATACATTGACAAAAATAAATATAAAGTTTCTATTTTATGAAAGTGGACCCAACTAATACTATAACTTGAAGGAGTAGCAAAAAAACTTTTACTTGACTAAAACATTTTGATGTAAAAAATTAAAAATTTTAGTTTTTAAAATTATATTTTTCAGAATTTAAAATTGTCTTTCCAAGTTTATTTTATTTACAGTTTTTTTTTTTTGAGTCTTATAAGTGAAAGTCCCAAAACTTCAAAAGTAATCTGAGCTAATTTTTTAAAAATCTGCAAATATTTGAAGATTAAATTTCTAAAACAATAATTTTTTTTAGCCAAATTAATATTTAAAGATAAAATTTTAAAATCTAATTGGAAATTAATGATCAAAAGCTAACTAAAATAGACACTTGAAATGATTTTGTAATAAAATAAAATAAAAAATAGAACAAAAATGAAAAATGCTTATTCCTATTTTTTTTTGGTTTTGTTCCCAACAAAAAGAATCCAAATTTATCAAATTAGTCCCTCTCTTCATTTCACCCCTTTCTTCCCCAAAAAAACCCCAATTGCAGAGAGCGAGTCACTGGACTCGCCAAATTGATAACTTTATAGCAAAATTCAATTGCTCCGACACTACTACCTTGTCGGCTCTCTTTCAAAAAATCCAGTTCTACCCCATTTATAGCATTCTACAGTTGGAATTCCCTTTATCCAGTAGCAGCTGAGAGGCACCTTGCTGGCGAATTGGACCGACATGGGAAAACAGCTCTTGTAGAAGAGAAAAACTTGGGAGTTACATTTCAGAAAGCTTGAAACAAGAATCTGATCAAACCAATTTGAGTGGGTTCTTGAAAAGTAAGAGTCTTTCATTTTTTTTAGCTTTGCTCAAAAAGACTCCCAATTGAGGTCCCCAGCATTTCTGTTCTAATTCAATTGGTTCTTTTATTGTTTGGGGATGTTGCATTTTGGGTTTATTTGTTTGGTAGACGTTGATATTTGAGAAAAACGTGAGAAGTTTTCATCTGTGTTAGGTGATGGTGGCTGAAAGATAGCTCTTTTGAGGGCATCTTAAAGATTGTATCTTTTTTATTTAATTTCTATTCAGGTTTTATGCATAGCATTCATGTGAAGCTTTGGACTCTTTTTTTTCCTCTATAATAGAAAATTGAGTTGAATGGATGAGTAGAAAGCTTAAAATAGCTCAATAGAAGGGCTAGAAGTTGTATAGTGTGATGTATATATCCATGAAACTGAATGGTTTTAGGTCCAAGTTTACGCAGGTAGAAGTGTGCAGCTCGAATTGCCTAAAAGTTGAGCTTTTGTTTCTTTGATGAAGTAAGTGATATCTTTGAAAGATGCAGTAGTTACAAGATATGACATTGAAGCTTACAGAAGCATCTCGCTCCTACACAAAAACTGTCTATGCCAGAGCTAGGGAACTACTGAAGTCTAATTGTTGATCTGAACTATTAGATGGGAATAAACTGAACCAGCAAAATAGACTAGCCATACATTTAGCTTTTATAGAGCCTATAGGAGTTAAAGTCACCTATTTCAAAATAAATATATAGAGCCTATAGGAGTTGAGATCCCTTCAAAACATTTCCTATTATTTTCTGTCGATATACTCCAAAAAATGCAAGCAAGTATCATTCTCCATTTGTGCTTGATGGATTTATCAACTCTCCATAAGCACAGAGGCGGATCTATTAAGGGGTGTGGGGGTGCCACGCCACCCCCGAACTTCGACGTAAACTCTATATATACATAGGTATATATATATAATATTTATATTTATATAAAGCGTGCCACCCACAGAACAAAATTGGCTTGTGGTGCCACGGTAGGAGGGCAACTTTAGAAGGCTGATGTTGCGGGTTCGAATCCCATTTGTACCTATTTTTTTGAGAAAGACGATTTTTTAAGAAAAAGGAAATTGCTGCACACGTTCTTTTAAGAAAAATTAGAGAACTAAAATTAATTTATATCGAAAAAACGAATAATTTAATCAAATATAAAATTAATTTAATCGATAAGTCTATTTGGCACCCACGGAGTCTAAATCCTGGATCCGCCACTGCATAAGCACCAACTCAAGTATGCTTCCCTTAATGAGTGAGGAGTGATCCATTTGAGGCCATAAATGCACAAAAACATGCTCCATAGATCTGAAGTAAAAAGATGGCCAGGGATTTCAGCTTCCACTTTACGCATATAGCATCTGTGAGTGAATTGAATTTTCCTCTTTATCAGATTATCCTGAGTGAGGCATTCCTCATTCAGGACTGTCCAGGTGAAAGAAATGACCTTGGGAGGAATTTTTGCTTTCCATATGAGCTTCCAAGGCCAGTTGTCAAGCATGGGATTGCAAGAGCACATTTTCTGGTAGCTCAACTTAACAGAGAAGATGCCACCTGCTTGATTGCCGCATTTAAGTCTGTCTGCTACCGATGGACTCAGGTTGCTTTGTTGTAGACTAGTGTAGAGGTCTAGCAGCTCATAGAATTCTCAGTCATACAAATCCCTTCTAAGTTGGAGGTTCCAGTCAGCCCCTTCTCTGTATGATACTATGACAACATCAGGATCTTGGGCAAGAGTTAAAAGGTTTGGAAATGCTTCCTGGATGTTGGAATTTCCTAACCATTTGTTCTTCCAAAATCATATAAGAGAGCCATTCCCTGCCGCCAAATGAGTGTTCTGAGCAAAGGTGCTCTAAAGTTTCCTGATGCCTTTCCACAGCCCAACTCTGTATGTTTTCCTTGAAAGCTTTCTGGACTAATGATCTAGTCCAAAACACTATTAATTAGTGTTAGTCTTCATCCATCCAAAGGATTGGTATTGCATCTGCCAGGTGGCCAACCTCTTCTCAAATTTCTCAATCATCCCATTCCAAATGTCTATGGAATTGGATTTAGCACCCAAGGAAGACCAAGGTAGCTAAAAGGAAAAGAGCCAATATTGCAGCCCATAAGGCCTGCCAATTCTTCCAGATTGGCAACTTCATTTACGGGGAATATGGTACTGTTTTGCATGTTCATGTGTATCCCTGAGATAGCTTCAAAAACAGACAAAGTTAGATTTAGGTGGATCACTTGGGATCTCTCAGCTCCACAGATGACCAGAGTGTAATCTGCATAAAGCAAATGTGAAACTGTAGCTTGGGACCCGTTATTCCTTACTATTTTGAAGCCCTCTATCCAGTGAAGCTGCCTGGATTTTTGTAGCATTTTACTATGCCTTTCCATGACAAGAATAAAGAGGAAAGGTGAAATAGGGTCACCTTGCCTGATGCTTCTTTGAGGAGAGAAGAACCCCACAAGCCCCCTATTTACCAAAACAGAGTATTTGACAGTTGAGATACAAAATTTAATCCATCTTAACCATCTTTCCTCAAATCCCGTGCGTCTCAACATATTGATCAAATAGGACCAACTCACTTTGTCAAAAACTTTTTCAATATCCAATTTGAACAGCACCCCTGGCTTTCCACTTTTGAATCTCCAGTCCATTGCCTCGTTAGCAATAAGGATGCACCAGTGATTTGCCTTCCCTTGACAAAGGCATTCTGGCTACCAGAGACTAGCTTCAAGTAACAGTTTCAAGTCTTCTTGCCAAAAGCTTAGAAGCAATCTTGTAAACACTGCTTATAAGGCTGATTGGTCTGTAATCCTTGATCTCAATTGCCCCTTTCTTTTAGGATCAATGCAATGAATGATGCATAAATATATTTCGCCCTGTCTTGATTTAAATCAGTAATCAATTTCTTTAATTTTGTCACCCCTTTCCTCATTTTTGCCTTAGAAGACCACCAGCAGCGCCTCCTTATGCTATTGTTATAGTTAGGAGATATGCATTTACCTCTGAAATGCTTCCTTTCTCCTTAATTGCACCTCAATTTCTTGTATTGACCAAGTACATTGAGTAATAGAACTAACATAATTGGTAACTGCATTTCCATCGAGTGATGTAGACCATAGTGTTCATAACTGTCTTTAATAATTATTAGGAATGCTTTTCTTGAAATTGAGCTAAGATGAGTTACAATCAAGTTTAATTTGTGTCTTCTTAAACAATCTTGTTGTAAGTACATTGTCTTCAGCAACATATGGCATAGTACTTAAGCTATGATTATCTATTTAACTCTTCCCTCCTTGTTCTTCGTTGTCAGTTTAATATTAAATCCTTCCTACTACAATTAGCTTCTCATATTACTCATGAGGACACTTCGTCTCAAGTCCATAGTTACTAGGAAATTTTGGAAGTAGTATATGTGCAATACAATTCCTTTTCATGAATAAGAATACCCGATGTTTATTCAATAACAAATTTTGAGTGTATACTACTGGAAATTGATATTTTCTACGATTTGCTACTGCATTTATAAAGTTGGTAGGTCATGAAGAATGCTTTGTTGATAATCTCAAGCCAACTGGTTTCTCCTTCTTCCTTGGTCCCCTCTTTTCTTTCTTATTTTCCCTAACGGGGATTGTAGAGCCTGATCTGAAAGTAAATAGAGGTAGGAGATAGGCAAACACTTAGCCTCTGAAATTCTGACCCTGAACACGGAGAAGAAAATTCAGTATGCTTTTCAATTTATGATTAACTGTTCAACTCTTAATGCGCACTGGTATTGGAGCATTTTGAGATTTAATCAAGTAGATTTATTAGTGTGTATTATGTTTGCAGCAAGCTGGCCGAATCATACTGTATATAAATTGTCATGCTGAATGCTACTTCCAACTGGTGGGGGTGGGATGAATTCTACAATGGATGACATGAACTTAATCCATCAGGCTCAGAGGCATCATCTTGTAGTGAGAGAGATAGGAGAAGAGATTGATTTGGAAATAGGACCTGGGGATGATGACCCTTCATTTAGTAATAATACTTTGATTAATGTTCCACCACAAGAATCTGCAGCCGAAGACCATGATGAGAGCAAGCAGATGATGATTCATCAGGCTTCTGGTGGGAATCAGGACTTGTTGAAGACGCAACCAGCGAAAAAGAAAAAGAAGGTCGTTAAAAGATGGAGAGAGGAGTGGGCAGATACGTATAAATGGGCATATGTTGATGTGAAAGATGGTACAGCAAGGATATTTTGCTCTGTTTGCAGAGAATATGGTAGGAAGCATAGGAGGAATCCATATGGAAATGAAGGCAGCCGAAACATGCAGATGAGTGCTCTGGAGGAGCATAATAATAGTTTACTTCACAAAGAAGCTCTTCGTCTCCAAATGGCATCCAAAGATAAGATTGTTGTTGATAAACCTTTATATGTTAAAGGTAATTTCCTTTTTTAGTTTTCTTGGTGGTTGTATCCACCTTGACCTTTTCACTTTTGTTTTTATCTTAAAAATTGTATGAGACTTCTAAAGCATTGTTTATTTAATTTATCAACACCTTTTCAAGAATATGTTAACTCTTTACTACGGACCTCCTCTTTTGGTATATTGATGATAGCTTCAGAAATTCATCTATTATACATGGTTCAAATCTCCACTGATGCAGAAACCGTATTTGCGATCATAATTTGTCTTTTTTCCTAGAGGAGTTCATAGACTCCAGCCTTTCCCCCACTTAAATTGAGCTATATGGGTTTGATGTCAGTGCTAAGAGCAGAGCTAATTTGTTAATATCTAAGCAAGAACTTGTAAATCTTTCAACATATTTTTTTTTTTTCATTTTTTGGTAACTGAGAAATCCCTGGAGCCAATGGTGCACGGTTCAAACATGGTGGCTAATGGTCTACTCCTCTACCCTTCACTTAAATACTGGGCTTTTGTACAGGTTCAAAACCATGATGTGCACCTAACCCACACATCACACACTACACTGTTACCACTTGGGCCAATCTCCAGGGACATCTTCCCACATAAGCCTTTTCGATGAAGTAAGGGTAATTCATCAAAAATCATCCAGATGATGCAAGCAAAAGATTGCAAGTCATATACACCAAAGAACTTCCATCACCAAGGAGCAGACACAATCCAAAAATTGAACACAACTAGTTACAGGGGCCTGATTGAGCCAACTAAACAAATACAATAAGCATTATGGGAAAGTCTAGAAGTTTCTAGAACAGGCTTTATCCAGTATGCTGGCATGAATTTGTATGACTATTGAATAGGGAAACAAATTAATTAACATACTACATTGACTCTTATGTTGAGAAGTATTAGTGTGACATCAAGTATGGCCGAGTCGAGAGTTGGTTTTGGTCTTCTATTCCATATTGATGGATGGGGTTGTAAATTTGTGACAAGTGTAGTTTCGCATCATGGGCCCATCTTTGTTTAATTCTATGTGCGCTGTTTCGTAAAAGAAAAACAATAACCACTGAAATCAATTTGTCTCATCTCCAAAGCTCACACACATATATTTTCACTCAAGAATACATAGTCATTTCACAAATCATTCTTGTTTCTTTTTTTGTGGGTGTCGGATTTTTTTCCGAGAGACTGAGATATTTCTCTAACTTCTTCATTGCTGTTGAAATCTCTTAAAAGCTCTTATGTCAAAAACGGCTGGATCAATTATTGAAGCTGCACTGAAAAGGGATCCTCATGAGCTAGAATTCATACAGTCTGTTCAAGAAGCGATTCACGCTTTAGAAAGAGTCATTTCAAAGAACTCAAGGTAAGTGTCTTGAACGTAAACCATATGTATGAAGAGTAATCATTACAACTCTGATAAGGAAACTTTACTCTGTGTTAGTTATGTAAGCACCATGGAGCGGTTATTAGAACCTGAGCGCACAATTGTTTTTCGAGTGCCGTGGGTTGATGATAGAGGTGAGACGCATGTGAACCGAGGGTTTCGGGTTCATTTTAATCAGACTCTAGGTCCGTGCAGGGGTGGTCTCCGGTTCCATCCATCAATGAACCTGAGTATTGCCAAATTTCTTAGCTTTGGACAGGTGATTTTCTGCCATCTATCTTAGTCTTTTAATTTTACTTCAGAACACTTATAATGTGTGTATATTTGCTCTATAGTGTACAAGCGATTGCTGTATCTTTTTCCCATCTAATCTTTTTGATGAAGGTGTAGTGTGAAGTTGAGTCGAAAAAGTATGCTGCTTCTCATATTGTTTGATTTGCTCTCGTCTGGTAGACTTTGAAAAATGCCTTGTCGCCTTACCGACTTGGGGGTTCTTCAGGTGGAAGTGATTTTGATCCTAAAAGCAAAAGTGATGGTGAGGTATATGCTTATCTTTTAACCATGTTGATTTCTAGTCACAAGTTTATTTCAAGCGTTAGGCTTTCTTCTATAATGGTCCCCAAAGTTTTTATTGCATTGTGGCGTAGAAGTAGTAGTTGTTGTTGTTTTTTTAAAATCTTCTATTTTCTGCCTTCTTCACTGTAGGTTATGCGATTTTGTCAGAGTTTTATGAATGAACTGTATCGTTATTTGGGTCCTGAGAAGGTAGCTAAATACTTATGTCTACATCTGTTTTCGCTTTCAGTTTCCTGTCAAATCAGATCTAAATTCTGTAGTTTGATTTATCGTCTGATCATGTAGGATCTTCCTTCGGAGGAGATGGGTGTTGGTACTCGAGAAATGGGCTTTTTGCATGGACAATATCGCCGACTGGCGGGTCATTCACAGGTGAAGATGATTAATTTTCTGATATTTAAGATCTTATCCTTCTGGTCCTCCAATTTCTTTCTTTTCCTGCATCTAGTGTGGCAATGGATAAGAATGGTCAAGTCCAGGCGAGATAATTTCCTTAAAACGTATACAAGAATCAAGAGGCTAATAATTCACATATATGAAATTTGCTGAATTTCACGGGATGACAGCAGAACATTATTGCTAAGCTTAATGTTCAGATATTTTAACTCAAAAAAGGCAAAAAATAGAAGAAAAAAAAGAGAGGAGGAGGAGGTGGTGGATTATTTTTTTCATTTTTCAACTATAAGGTCCCCGAGGGCCAGTAACGCACAGTGCTAAACTCGTCGATAATCGTCCACCCCTCTAGCATTCTCCTCTTAAATACGAAGTTTTTATATTTTATAAGGTTTGAATCTGTGACGTGACACATCATGTTGCGCTCTTACCACTAGACCAAAGTCTTGACTCTTGGGGGGCAGGATATGAACAAGTACATATCATTATGTTATTTGTTTTTGTGTTAAGTTAGCATTATGATGTTATGTTCAAATCTGCAAAACCAAAGACAACCTCCTTAGATAAAATGCTCTCAGGCACACTTTTCGAGGTTAGGCCTTTCTAGGTTGATTTCACTCCAACAACATTTACATTTTTTTTTTTGCGGTAGTTAGGCCGGAACATTATAACGGAGGAAGATAAGATTCATAACGATGCAGGTTTTAAATCCTATGACATTATAATGGGGGAAAATAGGATTTATTACAATGCAGGTTTTAAATCATAACGGCAAGAGGCAATAGAATATAGGCAAGCAACAGGAGCAAGCAGTCAATAAAAGGATGGGGTGAATGAATTGAAAGGACTAAAGATGGGAAACAAATTCATGAGTAACCAC